AACACGTGTGTAGGAGTGGTATCATTGAACAACACATGTATAGGAGTGGTATCATTCAACAACACGTGTGTGTAGGAGTGGTATCATTCAACAACACATGTGTAGGAGTGGTATCATTGAACAACACATGTATAGGAGTGGTATCATTCAACAACACATGTGTAGGAGTGGTATCATTCAAAAACACGTGTGTATAGGAGTGGTATCATTCAACAACACGTGTGTGTAGGAGTAGTATCATTGAACAACACATGTATAGGAGTGGTATCATTCAACAACACATGTGTAGGAGTGGTATCATTCAACAACACATGTGTATAGGAGTGGTATCATCCAACAACGTGTGTGTAGGAGTGGTATCATTCAACAACACATGTGTAGGAGTGGTATCATTCAACAACACATGTATAAGAGTGGTATCATTCAACAACACGTGTATAGGAGTGGTATCATTCAACAACACGTGTGTAGGAGTGGTATCATTCAACAACACATGTGTGGGAGAGGTATCATTCAACAACACGTGTATAAGAGTGGTATCATTCAACAACACGTGTGTAGGAGTGGTATCATTCAACAACACATGTGTGGGAGTGGTATCATTCAACAATACGTGTGTGTAGAAGTGGTATCATTCAACAACACGTGTGTGTAGGAGTGGTATCATTCAACAACACTTGTGTGTAGGAGTAGTATCATTCAACAACACGTGTGTGTAGGAGTAGTATCATTCAACAACACGTGTGTGTAGGAGTAGTATCATTCAACAACACGTGTGTGTAGGAGTAGTATCATTCAACAACACACAGTCACTGTTTACTAAAATTCCAGTAACTTCTTTCCGTTCTGTGTAGTTTCATTACATCAAAAATCTTTATGTTTACTATTTAGACCTCCTATTATTATTGGGTTTTATTGATTTAACTTATTTAATAAATGTCTATCACTACACGGGCTTTCTTATGAATAGTTCGTTTCTTTTGAATTTCGCTCAAAGCTACTCGAAGGTTATCTGCGCTAGCTGTCCCTAATTTATCCCTGACAGACTAGAGGGAAGACAGCTAGTCAACACCACCCACCGCCAATTCTTGGGATACTCTTTTACCAAACAATAGTCACATCATAAAACATACACACACCCACGGCTTGAAGGGCGAGTATGTTCGGTGACGGAGATTCGAACCCGCAGCTTGCGAGTCGACCAACTTAACCACTAGGCCATGGTCTTATGAAAGAAGCAGTACAGTAACTTAGAATCAGGTGAACTGTTAATTTCAAGTTGTACGAAAACTCCGACAGCAAATAGAAACGGAAGATTATTTAGGCATTACCAAAACAAACAAAAAATTTAGTATTGATTGTTATAATACATTAATCAATACCGTCGTAATATCAAGCTTACTGATGTAGTATTGATTGTTATAATACATTAATCAATACCGTCATAATATCAAGCTTACTGATGTAGTATTGATTGTTATAATACATTAATCAATACCGTCATAATATCAAGCTTACTGATGTAGTATTAATTGTTATAATACACTAATCAATACCGTCATAATATCAAGCTTACTGATGTAATACTGATTGTTATAATACACTAATCAATACCGTCATGATATCAAGCTTACTGATGTAGTATTGATTGTTATAATCACTAATCAATACCGTCATGATATCAAGCTTACTGATGTAGTATTGATTGTTATAATACACTAATCAACACCGTCATAATATCAAGCTTACTGATGTAGTATTGATTGTTATAATCCACTAGTCAATACCGTCATAATATCAAGCTTACTGATGTAGTATTGATTGTTATAATACACTAATCAATACCGTCATAATATCAAGCTTACTGATGTAGTATTGATTGTTATAATATACTAGTCAATACCGTCATAATATCAAGCTTACTGATGTAGTATTGATTGTTTAACAATTTTCACACAAAACTAAACTAGGGAAGGCGACTAGTCAACAGCACTAATTTTCAACTCTTAGACTAGTCTTGTCTGACAATGCGTTTTTGTAGCAACAGGACGCGAACAGTAAATCTTTGGTTTCACAGTCCTAGCACTAATGATGAGGAAACAGACCGGTGCTTTTTAATAAACATGGTTTCCTGTGCGCACCCCTCTTTTTGAAAGAGCGAGTTAAGTCACAAGATATAATACATGGATACACATTAAAATAATAGATGTATTGTAGTAATTATTAAAAAAATATATTAAAACGCTTAATTTTGCATTATCCCAATACCGACTCTACCTTAATCGCTCGCGCTCCCAAGAGATCATTTGCGCCCCCCAGGGGGTGCGCCCCACAATTTGAGAAAAGCAGCGTCAGAGTGTTTAGTATAATTGTTCTTACTAGGTTTAATTTCTGATCATTATATTTTTGTTATATATATATATTATTTTGCATTGTCAGATTGGTATGTGTATTTAGAACCAACCTAAATTTCTTAGATGACCAAACCTCCAGAGGTATTATTGGGTTTACGACCGAAAACATCGTTAAGAACGAAGGTACACAACTGACGTAAAAAAAATGAATTATAATCTTTATAAATAAGAACAGTATATTTAATTCAACGTTTAAACTATAACTATTGTGTAAGAGATCATTCATTGTACACACTAACAGTCTGCAACGTTTAAACTATAACTATATGGTGTCTTGAGATCATTCATTATACATACCAACAGTCTTCAACGTTTAAACTATAACTATCGTGTAAGAGATCATTCATTGTACACACTAACAGTCTGCAACGTTTAAACTATAACTATATGGTGTCGTTGAGATCATTCATTATACATACCAACAGTCTTCAACGTTTAAACTATAACTATCGTGTAAGAGATCATTCATTATACACACTAACAGTCTGCAACGTTTAAACTATAACTATATGGTGTCGTTGAGATCATTCATTACACAT